AACGTGTAGTACAGTGATCTGGATTGTCAGGGACCAGCCAGAGATACAAACTTCAGTTTTAGCGCTAGGATACAGGAACACTGACAGTGGGGTATTTGGAAAGGCAGGTTTTGATACAGCTACGCTAACTGTTAGGCAGAATTGGAACCAAGCAGTTAATTTGCTGGTCCATGACCACTATGCGGTCATGGTTCAGGTCTGCCTCTGCTCGTTTCCTATTTTGTTTTAGAAATGTTTCGAGTTTCCATTAACAACAGTTGTGGTTATCCACAGATGAGCTGATTAGACTTACGTAACGTCTGTTGAAATAATCACAAAAGGAGAGTCTTTGAACAGTATCTCATTTGAGAGAACAAAGTAGGTATGTCCATAAAAGATAACAAGTTTTTACTGAGTTAAGAAATTTAAACTTGTATTTTCAAATGGTTTTATTTTTTGCCTAGAGAAGGGTATTTACACTTTATAACAAAAATAAGACATTAAATAAGAGATAATATGTCAACTAGAGGAGGGTAATAGAAACAGTCCTGTCATTAGGATTAAAGGGGAACGGATGATCATTAATTACTTTTGAGCTTATTGCACTCACGTACAAAGATATTTTTAAATCTGTGTTGATCTGAGCAATCAGCTCAAACTTGAGATCAGATGAATTATTTTGGTTAAGAGAAATTGCTGGGCTATTTACATTGTTAATACCATTCTACATATTGAGATGAAGGTTGGTGTTTTCAGCACAGGAGAAGCCAACTGTTACCAAGTCATTTTTGTTCGTTTACTTGTTTGTTTGTTTCAGAGTTCTAAACTTATTTCCAATCAGTGTTGAACCCCAAGGAATCTCCTGATTTTTCCATATGTCCTGCTCTTGGTACTAATTCTGCTGTACCTTAAATTTCTGCTTTTTTCTTCACTTGTCTGCGTTTTCATGATCGTCTCTTGTAGAAAAGCAGGAGTGAAAGGCACACTCCTGGTCTTTGATTTCCTGCTCTTGCAGCCCTTCAACCTCTCATAGGTAAAAAAACCCCAAACATGAATGACAATTTTGTATGGATTTGTGTTTGTTCCAAAATTATTCTTTTATGTGAATATTTTTTTCTTTATCCTTGGCACATCCATGTTGACACCTACATGATCTCCCCCTTAGTCTTTTGTTTGTTAAGCTAAGCAAAGCAAGTATTTTCAATTTCTTCTCAAAATTTTCCTGACCATTGTAGTAGCTTTTATCTCTTACAGTTTGAATTCCGTTCTTAGGCATAGATGATCAGAATCAAGAACAGTAAAATTTTAACAGAGCTTCCATGTTATTGCATTAATGTTGATGTCTATGTACTAGAAATATTTTCCCTGATAATTTTATAATTTCCATTTCTGTAGGGTGTTATGTTGATAGCTCATAATTACTCTGTGATCAGCTTTGTCCCCACAGATTCAACCACTGTAATTTTCAACTGCTGAGCTCTCAATTCTTAGCAGAAACTTCATAATCTATAAGATCACATCTTTGCATTTTGTATTACTAAATTTTACCCTATTTTTATTCTTGTGGTCCTAAAGGTAATCCATGTCTTCTGGTGCTGTTCCATTCCTCACATACTAGCAGTGCTTTCCAATATCAGAAGTTTTTTGAACAAACCCAAACTGTGATTTTTGTTATCATTCATACTACGTATGCTCTGGTCATTAATAAAAATATGTAGTAAAATTGATCCCCTAAAGTGTTGCTGAGGAAAATGCATTAGTATTGTTCTTCCAGCTCCTTTGGTACAGCACTAAATCATCTCACCTTACTTTTACAATGTGCAGTTCCTTTCACTGATCTCAAATGTTCTGTATCATGATCATTAGTACTAGCAAACATGATTTAAATGTAGTTTAAAAAGCTGAGTGACAGAGCTTCTGTTGTTTGCTCACTAACTGCTTAGGTCAGGTCTTTTTGATATGAAGCTGATTTGTGATAGATTCAAAGTGAACCATTATTTCACCTTGCATAATCCACAGGAACACTCAATTTTCTTTTTTTCTTTTTTTATTCTTTCTTTTTTCCTGTAAAGAAAAATGAAATAAAAGCAAACTATATTTGTAGTAATGCTTTTGTATGATATAAAGTAATACCTGTTGATATTCTAGAGGGAATGGATTGACCAGATTTTTGCTTTAACACCTCTCAGAATAAATATCTATACTTTATAGAATCATAGAATATCCTGAGTTAGAAGGGACCTGTAAGGATCATTGAGTCCAACTCCTGGCTCCACACAGGACCAGACGAATCAGAGCATATGACTGAGAGCGTTATCCAGATGCTTCTGGAACTCAGTCAAGCTCGGTGCTGTGACCACTTCCCCGGGGAGCCTGTTCCAGTGCCCGACCGCCCTCTCAGTGAAGAACCTTTCCCTGATATCCAACCTAAACCTCCCCCGTTGCAGCTTCGTTCCGTTCCCTCAGGTTCTATCATTGGTCACCAGAGGGAGGAGATAATACTGTATTTATACCCTCTCTCTGTTTTAATGTTGCTAATGAAATGTTAAAAATTTTCACTTTTGCAAAATAGTAATTGTATTGCCATGAGGAAAAACATGGAATAACGTCTGGGAAAAGATTCCGCTAGCTGGGATAATACACAATTTCTTCTTCATGCATATTTCTGAGTGCATTTATAATTTGTCCTGAGATCTTAACCTAACTCAGGAAAATAGTCTTATATCTTGTCTTTTGCTAGCTCTTGAATTCTTCAAATGTCCAGCTGGGGGAGAGATGATGTACTCTTTGTGAGCAGAAACTCTAAGTGATATTTCTGACAGCTGTGGTTACAGCTCCTAGCTTTGCGTTTTTCACTCTTTGAGCAGAGATCATCATGTAGTACAAGATTTGCATAGAAAGAGCCTACATAATGTTTATGAAAGGTGGCTTGGCAACACACGTTTTTTTGTCTGGTGGCCTTCGTATCCTAGCTAGGTGGCTTGAGGGGACTTGGAAGTGGTTGACAGCCACTCAAAGATGCCAGGTACTTACTCCCTTATGTAGTTACAAGTAGCTACTGATCAGAATATAGTACTGCAGAACTGAATGTTTGCATAGGAGAAAATAACAATATTTAATAATGTATTATTATTTTAAAATTACCTTTGGAAATAGAAATAATTACCTTGGGAGATATTCCCATTTCATACTGATGCAGGGAAAGCTATTTGCCCCTTCTTTTACTGCTGAATCATTCTTGTCTATTTTTTGAAGGGCCTTTTGTCTCCTTGTGTGTGTGTATTTATATCCCATGCACATAGATTTAGTAATATTTTCTTGCAAGTTGAAAGTGAATTCATGAGTTATTCTGGAAAAACTTTAAAAGTGGCAGCTTTCAAGAACATTCGCTAATGTTCAGAGTGATAACCTGACTGCCACTATCATCAGCTGTAGAAAGACAGTTGTCAGGTTGTTGGGCTTCAAGATTAACTCTCTTGGAGAATATAAAAAGCAGCGGCAAGTCTGGCCTGATCCGGTTCCCTACTGCACTTTAAAGCCCCCTAGGGCTTCACTGACGAGCCTCTCCTAGGCTACGGACCGTGTCACCAGAGACCCTATGTGAATGTGTGGCTGAGTTCCATTTCCCTGTAAATGAAGCATCCTTATGTTGAGGCAGTTCCACACTGTATAAAGTGAATGAGTTAAAAATTGATAGCAGACAGTTTCTCTCTCTAAAGGGAAATATGTGGTATTCATGGATGAGACCAGTTTGCTGTTATCAGTGTCATAATGTGAATGGCTATAAGCCAAACTTGATTAAGTTACTCAAAAGAGCAATTACTACAACTGTATAATAATAATGTTAAACTAACAGAATAGGATTTGGGTGAATTAATTTAGAACCATTTACTTCTATTTTCAGCTTCTACTTATATTTCAAAGTAAAGAAGGGCATCCAAATTAATTGGAATAACATGCAAGCTGTAGTTAAATTAGGGAAGATTTTTTTTCTCCATGTTTTATTTGTCTGTAGAATTTCACTGGTTGCAATATATTTCAATATGTGTTGAGGGGATGTTCCTGTGTGTTTAAGGATGTGGACTGAGCGCCTCAATAGGACTTTCTCACTGTGCGAACATGAGCAATTTTTCTGTGGGTCTGGAATTCAGAGGAATTATTAAATGATAACCTTTTCCAGTTTGTTAGTGGCACTGTTTCGTCTTAGTTCTGTAAAGTGATTTTTTTTGTTTTGCATAAGTTTGTTGCCATAATGATAGCAACAATAAATACAAATAATGATTTATAATAATCAATATCACTTGCATCAAGTATGTGTTTAAATAGAAAGTCGTTATTACTTTTCAGTCTTAAGAATTTTAAAATAATTACATTTAATCCTTTTACTAAGGAGGATACTGTACGTTTGTTAGCTTGAAGGGTCTCTTGTATCAGAAAAACCCCATGCATGATTGTTTTGTTTGATATCAAAACACATTTTTGCTGTCATAATACTGGCACATTTTCAAGGCCTGCTGTTTTCTGGCTGCTAGCAGGGAGTAATGGAAACAATGCAGTGATAGTGCAATTTTTTGAAAAGAAACACTAAAAATACTTAAGCAAGCAATGTTTTTAATTTAATAGGCACTAGGATTCATAAGGCTGCATAAAATAGCTGTTTCAGTACCACAGGGGTATTTAAATGCCTTGCTGCCTATGAATTGTTTATAATTTCTTTCTGGTAATTTTCCTTTGGATCAGATTGTGATGCTGCTTCTGAATAGTGATAGTGCTTGTTGAGGGGTGGTCATGCAAGCAAAATTTGATAACCTCGATATGTCACTTCATCTGCTGTTTTTCTTTTGTTAATGCAAAGCTGGTTGCATAATATCTAATTTCTCCTTTAGCTGACCACAGATGAAAACAAAATCTATAATGGCAGCGCTGGATTTTATAAAAAACGCAAGTGAGGAGTTGAAGGATGTGGCTTGTTCTGTTTGGATGATGCAGGATTGCTTTAAGCAGTAAGCTTACTGTTTTCAGATGGCATTAGCAGCATCAGTGATATAGCTGTGTCAGCCTCCTTGACTACTGGATGTCTGTAAGCGCACAGAGGAAACTATATTTAAGATCTGATATCTTGAGGGTAATGACTCCAGCACTGACTGAAGGACAGAATGGCTGCTAATGCTTTCTTCGCTAGCCCAGAAGATTTTGAAAGATAGATGGGTCTGTGATGTACTTCTGTAAGACAGGAAATGCAATTTTTGGGGGTCTCTGGAAATAGAAAGGTCATGCAGCTTGGAACCGGTGAGACATTACAGTCTCTAAGTCATCAGGTATGACCTCATAGTTTATCCTAATATTTCTAACACAAGGGTTTGTTTTACAGTTTTAGGTCATTTACAATCTCTTTGTCTGTGTAATTGCTTCATGTTGGATTTGCTACAGGATTTATAGGGTAGACTGTTTACATAAGCACAGCAATGTATATCTTGGAAATCTAACATGTTGTTAATTGCTATTTGAACAATGTAAGGTTATTCCATATATATTTTCAACCTGGTTTTATTGTGAATATTTCTTTTAACTAATTCATGGTAAAAGGTTATACCTTTGCTGTAAAGTAAAATGGCAAGATTGTATTGCATTTTTGTTTTGCTTTATCTTTACATGGCACACAAAGCTATTGTGTGAATGTGTGTGTTAGTCAGATGAAATGCAGTATGAGACAACTGTGTACCTACAGTGGCAGGTTATTTAAAACAACGTATCACATTGTGTAACAGGACTGAGCTATTTTGCAGGCACGGATCTTGCTTCATTTTGCAGTAGTAGATTTTTTTTTTTGTGCTTCATTTCAAATCAGTGTTAAAAATAGCTCACTGAACATAACAGTGAAAGTTTGGCAAGATAACTCTTCCCTTTTTAATTATTACACTCAGTGACACATACTAATACTGAATGGGTTGTAAAAGAGAAGATTAATAACTTAAATATGTAGAATGTTGTTTAAACCCAAATTTATTTCACTGAAGCATGTCTCCTCTTTGGTTTTTAACTGTTGCCAACTTTATTGCAAGGCTGATACTTTTGTATCTGCTAGTGTATTGTGGTGATGGATGGGAAAGTCAGAGTACATGAAAGAAAACAAGTATATGGGTATTTTACATAGGAAGATAGTGGCCTAATTTCATGTATGGAGCACAAAATAGAATTAGAGATACTGTTATCACTTTAGGTGTTATAAATGCTAGATAATAGCTGTTGTTTCCCTTTAATACAGCATAGAGCAATGAATATTTGAAATTGTAGGAGAAGTTTATTTTAAAAAATGATATTCAGCTTCATCTTAAGAAATTCTAGATGTATTTGCAGAACATTTCCATGGCAACATGTTTGGCCATGTGTTTTAAAAGCTCAGCTGAAGCCTGAAAGTAGCGTGCAATTTTTCTGTCACTTGCTTTAGCCTTGTGAAACAACAATTTTCATATATAACTGGACTGCAGATTGGCAAGGGTGAGCAGTATTTCCTGACCCCAGAGCACAGGATTAAATGATCAAGATTTAAAAATATTTTCATATTTCCACCTAGAAATGTGAACACGTAAAACATAGATTTGATTTTGCATTTAGAGCTGTATTCTGGATTCACCCCCGTTTAATAACATTTTGTTGGGAGCACGTGTGTGTGGGAGACCACAGAAGACCAAACTTGAGAATGTTCAGCAAATTGCTTCAGTAAAAATGGCTGTCTTTTCATTTTTAATTAGAAACATGTTTGTAAAAAATGTTGTATTACTTTTACTGGCCATAATTTATAGTTTCCCAGTCTACTTATCCAGCTTACATTCTTATTAATAATGGGGAAAGACTGCCCTGCTCTTAAGCTTGATTAGGTTTGGAATGATTTAACTATACCTTTCACTTGCTACAAGATCTTTTTAATCTGTTAGAATTTATTTTCAGTATTTTAATGTATTAGTCACAATGAGTACATTCTGTTTCTTGGCACTGGAATGAAATTCCTGAAAGTATTGGTTTCATGGTATTTTGGTGATTTGCAGGGTATTTATGGACTTTTAAATAGGACCAACCCTCCTCCCAGCTTCTTTGTTTTCCTTATTCAAGTATAACTTAAAATCTTGACTTAGCTGTATTTGGAAGTTGTTCCTGAAGTCTCCTTTGCTCATTTAAAATAATCAGATCTTCATGGAATTCTGCGTAACTGGAAGCTATAACAGTATGCTATATGCTTATCCTGGACTCTGTTTTGTCATTTATATTAATTCTGCAAACTGTGATCTGTGGATGTTTTTGAAATGCAACATTGATAATAATCTCCAAATAGTGCAATAGACATCCCTTGGGGCCTGTTTAGGATAGAAACTGTATCTACAGAAGTAAATAAATCAGTGAAGAATGCTTGCTTGGGCAAGTGTATGTTTAGGTCAGTCCATTTTGAAACAATGGTATTACTATTGCAAGTGAGTTTGAGTATGTTTTTTCACTCGAAGGATGTAGTCCCATTATAGGTTTTCTTCATTTGGAGGGACTAGAGAATAATAGCCCAAAGGAATGTATTAAGGAGGTGAAGCTCTTTTGTAAGAGAAAGAATTGCAGCAAGGTAGAGATGCACACATCAGAGCAGGGAATTTGACTGAAGTGATCTGAAAACTTAAAACTATTTTGCTTGTTTAACCCTCCCCCCCCGCCACTCAAAAAAGAAAGGTTTAGAATATTCTTGTTAATATTTGGACATATTGCACAAATTTGGAGTTACTGAATCCAGTGGCAGTTTGTTGGTATCAACTTAACAAGAAGGTTTTTTTAATACCTTCTTTAAAACTATACTGTCCCTCTTCAAGTTGGTTGCAACTGTCAGTATTTGAGGAATGCTGTGTAAAGAAGTATCTCTAACTAAAGAATTCTTTCCCCTTGATCATGCATAACAAATACACATCTATGAGTATGTGTTTCCTTATCTGTAAATGTTCCTCATCACAGAACTTGATGATAAAGATCTTACAAAGAAATAAAGCTCTGTATGGATGTTTTAGGAACAGCATTAACTAGCAAGTTTGGCAAGAAGCCCAAATTTGGATCATTTACCAATTCTAAACACAAATGCTTGTACTCATCATGCATGTACTCAGTTGTACAGTGCTTTTAATTATTACTGATTGCTGTTCTGATTCCACATAACTAGCTTTTTTGGTAAGTTATACTGCTGCTTTTTAAGGAAATGCCAACATTAGGACAAATAAGAGATCATGGCCAAACATTCAAAAAGGGCAAAATAACACTAGAAGCAAAAAGTACTTTCAGAGTGAGTTGAAAGAATTCAAGTCCTTTTGTCTTACATTAATCTCCCTCCCAAGAGATGATCATATTCTCTGGTTGAATTCTCCTCTTTTAGTATATTAATTCATATACCAAGTCATTGGGCCTAATGACCTGATTTAGGGAAGGCTTAGTATAAGCATGTCAGAAGGGTCTAAAACATAAAGTAACATAGCATAAATATGTAATAGCTAACTGCAGGGTCACAAAATATATAGCTAAATGACTAGTGTTCCAAGACTGTTCCATTTCATGTGGTATTCCAAGAATATCACAACATGATCATTCTGAATAAAGACTATTTGAATGAGTTTTGCAGGGATGCAGTATGAAAATGTGAATAAAGTATAAGCTGATCCATAATTCTGGTAAATTCTAATAGATTGGTTAATTAGTAAAATCAATACAAACTACAGACTAAGCTACATAATGCTTTCCATTGTACCATACTGATTTCAGTGTGACCCTAAAAGGGAGAGCATCACTTTCCTGAATCATTTAAAAAAAATGTATCAGCAAGAGATTACAAGGTGGCTGATGATAAGGTGGGGAAATACTGCTATTCCCATTTTATTAAGGGGATCAAGGTTTTTCTTATGTTTAAGTGAAACTTCTCATATTTTAATTTGTGCCCATTTCCTCTTGCCCTGTCACTGGGCACCACTGAGAAGAGTCTGGCTAAGTCTTTGCTACTTCCCCCCAGTCAGGTACTTGTACTCTCTGATAAGACTCCTCTGAGCCTTCTGTTCTCCAGGCTGAAACAGTCCCAGTGCGCTTAGCCTCTCCTTCTGTGACCTTTGTGGCCCTTTACTGGGCTTACGCTAGTATGTCCATGGCTTTCTTGTAAGAAGGGAGCCCAGAACTGGACAGAGCGCTCCAGTTATGTCTTAACAGGGCTGAGTAAAGGGGCAGAATCACATTATCTGGGAAGGAAATTCAGATTCTCTGTTAACTAATCAATCAAGTATATTTAAAGTACCTGAATAAAAAGGTATCATGTAATATGATATCACTAATAACAATAATAATAAGAAGAAGAAGGGGAAAAAAAAAAGGTAAACTATGGGGAACATGAATTCCAGGCATTCATAAGTTGTGTTTTTTAGTCAACTTGCCAAAAATGATTTGTTAATTTCTACTGGAAACTTGGAGCTTGCATGGAGCGCTCAAATGTTCTCAACTGATGCCGCAAGCATCAACTGATACAAAATATTCAACTTGGTGCATTGAATGAAAATGCAAAACAGGAATTAAGCGACATGAGGGAGTGTTGAGGTATTGTAAAAATTTGCTCATTTTTTATAATAGCTTCCCCCTTTTCCCCCCAGGCTGCTTAAATAAAAAAAATATATAGGAGCCTTCAGTGATTCAAGATCCATCCGTTTCTCTCCTGATAACATAATGAGTTCACTTGTATAAATTCTCTTTATTAAAGATTTTATGCAGGTACACAGAGAGTCATTAAAATACATGCAAGAAACCATACCCATATGGTTTGTATCTACATTTAATGCCATTAAAACTATTCTAACAAAAGCAGTATCAGTTTTATGTCCCAATCCTGTGATAAAAGTTTTCCAGGAGAAGCAATGTCACTTTTCTGCCTGAATCCTGCATATGGAACAGCAAAGAAATACCTTGTCCTTGCATTAGTAAGGGGAGCTGCAGTTGAGCAATTCCATTCAGGTGTGGAGTGTTTGGAGACAGGAATTTGTGTGGTGGAGACCTGATGTCAAGCTTATTAGGTGAGGGGGTTAACTCTGCTTTGGGGGGGGTTTCTGTCTGAGAGTTAGCCATGCAGGTCAGTTATACCAGCTGGTGTCACTCTTTAGTTCAATTTTTAAAGGTATTTAAGTGTTTATTTCCTATTTTTCTGTTAAGGTTATCTGACATACTTTAAACTTAAAAAAAAAAAAATCAGCTTTCTTTCCCCTTTTCTACACCCCATTGTTCATCTCTCTTTTCTAGTCCTGTTCCAGCCGTAAATTTTGGTGAA